GGCAGGCCTCCATCCTCTCACTCTTCCTGCCATGTTTGTCCTACCTGACTTGCACGCCCTGAGCAAGGACAAGCCAGGCCTGCTCACGCTCCTCTGAGGTACTACAGCACCAAGCCCAAATGGGACTCCACATTAGCTCGCCTGCAGGTGCTACTGAAATGAAGATCAGAGGCCCAACGGTAAAGAGCAGCTTTTTCCTCAGCAGAGGATTTAACAGGGGTGTTCCCAGACCAAAAATGTGAGAGGCTAAAAGATCTGACCATACGGACGGGGTTCGGCTGGAGGAAGTCTACTCTACAGCCATTTCCTCTCATTAAATTTTTCTTTGTTCTTCAACAGTGTCTGACACCCGGATCATGCCAATGGGAGAAGGGAGCGTGAAAGTCATAGCAGGTAGGTCATGTCCAGGTAGGAAAATATCCAACTGTTAAAATGCAGCAGGACAATGATTCAATTACAGTGCCTGCTGTACTGCACTGAAGAACTGCTTTCAAGGAACGCGTTTCACAGCAATGACTTTCTTTTCACTGTGCACCTCCATTTTCATGTGGCAGTTGAGCTATCAGGGCAAATGCGGGTCCCTGAAGTGCTGAGTAACTGCTGGACAATGTGAAGCACCGATATTTGGCAGGCACAGCATTTCTGCTGCTGCTTGTGTAGGTTCCAAGGCCTTTTGCAGAGAGGAAGAATTGAGGCTCACTGTAAAGGCATAGACTAATCACTGAGACATTCTGCCACGTGGCAAGAGATGGCTTTTACAGCGACTACCCTCCGGGTAGGGGCGGTGAGCTGCTTTATTCGCCCACCAGCTTCCAAACAGATTGCTCACAGACGTGCCTGAAGAGTTAGAGAGAAAAAGTTTTCTGTGGCAAAATAAAAATGGGTAAGAAATAAGAGAAGGATGTAGTAAGGGCACACTGAGGATCCTGCTCCCCCCCCAAAAAGAGGGCAGGTGAGAACAACCACCAGAGGTTTACAGTATTCACTAGAAGTGCTTAATGTTCCAGATGGCTCTTTCACCTCAATCCACTGAAAGAAGAAGAGAACAAGAACTACGGAAGGTGGTTCATTGCAACCCAAATTCAAACTATTTGCGCTAAAGCAATTCTAGCCCTATAGCACTAACATGTCCTCCCCTACCTTCTCTATGATTTAATAGCCTCAGACTACCTGTCCTGCTGCTGCTGCATAATCACATTACACTAACAAAAACTGTAAGAGCCATGACAGTTTTTAATCTACTGGGAGTGCCATTTAAATCCTAATTCTAATAATAATTCCCGTTTCTACAATACCTGTAGAATGTCATATTACCAATGTCATATTACCAAGTCCTGAAGCGTCCCAAACACCATACCTGGAATATGTATTTTTTCTTTTCTAACACATGTATCTAATTTTGGACCTTAAGTGGTCAGAAAATAAAGCAATCGAGTTTGGAAAAATGCTTGTTTTGCTGAAGTGCCCAGCAACTGCACTTCTGCTCAGAGCTATAAATTAACTCTATGAGGCTACGCCACTTGTTAAGCACCAAGAACGCTTCAAGCTCCCCTTTCAGCATTTTACAGGGAAAATAATGCAGGTTAGCTGCCTGCTTCAGCATACCTGTTGACTGAGACGACACGGTCCATGCCGCTGCTTGCCATTGCAGGAGCAGCCATAGAGACGGATGATGGCCTCAAGCCTTCCTTGACAACGGAGGGTCAGTCAAAGGTGCATCTGCCATCGACAGTGTGGAAGCAGCCTAAGGACACCAAGGAGTGGGGAGATGAATATATATCCAAAGAGCAACCAGAGAGAGGGAAAGATATGGGCCCAAGCAGATACAGCTCAGCAGACAACATTATATGTGAACCCTCTTTGGCGGGTAAGGGCAGAGGGGAAAACTGCAGCCAGAGAGGCTCAGAGCTGCACTTGCATCTGGTGGGAGATGGCAATGACCCTTTACAGATGGAGACAAACAAGCCCGTTTCCCCTGCTGGGAGGGAATCCCTCAGGGCATCAGAGTCCCCAGGACCCTGGCCTTTGTATTTGCTGGTCTAGGCTGTCAAATAAGATAATCCCAAACACACTCTGCACCCAGGACACCCATCCTCTGTTCCAAGACCTGGCAGGTTCAGAGAGCTGGTGGGGTTGCGACAGTAGAGCTGGGGAAGTGGGTGGGAAATACAACTTCTCATTTTGTAGGACACTGGATGTGAATCTCTGGTATGAGTTGTTTTGCCCTTGGTGCTTGTTTTGTTTTTCCCAAGATCTCTGAAAAAAGCTGGAATCCCTGAGGTGAAACATGTTTGCTGTAGCATCAGGCTAGAATATCCTATTTTGGGGAAAGCTGACATACAAAGAAAAGACATTGATCTCACTTTTCAACAGTTTCTTCTTTCATGATTTAATGTCAGATCACCAGACAAAACGCAGCCTAATATGATGCTGTCCTTGGGGTCAGTTTTTCCTTTTTTGTTTTTTTAAAATTCAACTTAACCCTTTTTTTGTGGAAGCTAAAAGGCAGAACATCGCTTTGGAGCTGCTGGAGTCAGAAAGGAAATATGTAATCAACCTTTCCCTAATTCTGAAGATCAAGGCCACATTGCAAGGGCCAGATGTGAAAAGGAGCACCAAAGAGAGAAGGTATTTGATAGAATATTCTTTCTGTTTCATCCCCTCACCTAGTTCATCCACACAGAGATATTTAAACATTTAAGGCTTATTTCTAGTTGAAAACTGGAGGCACTGGAAGGTTTTTGCAGGGATTACAGACGTTCCTGCCAGTTTGTTGCAGTAGCAAACCCCCGAAAACTGTAAATTTGTATGACTCAAGACAGACATTGAAATTTCCTCCTGATACCTCACTGATGTTGGCAAGCGCTCACTCTACAAAGGCACCCTTTTCTTTCACGTTATGATCACGCAATCACTTGCCAGATCACTGTACAAAAATGTCTCGTGCCATCCCTCTCTTAAGGACAGATGGCCAGCAATTATCCAGCGTGACCATGCTTACACTGAAAAAGCAGTTGTCACAGATCGCGTTATTTCCCCAAATTTGTACTTTGCTCCAATTTACCATTTCTGCGAGGAAAAAAAAATAAATCACACCAACTATTTTGTTTCGGGTCATTTCAACTGGATTTGGTATATTTGTTAAACTGAATAGAGAAGTTTCATTTCAGGTCTCTTAGCCCCTGGGCCTGCAGATGCTGGGGTCCCTGACCATACTGCATTTCACACAACGCACTGTGCCCCGGCCAGAGGCATCCTTGGAGTCATTTGACAGAAGGACATGGTGGGACATTTGGGTAGATATGGGTAGATATGGACTCAGTTAAACAGTTCCATGACAGACACAGTTCAGACTGAAACATTTTGATAGTCTCAAGTGAGTTTTCACTTTTCCTCTTTTTTCCCTGGGAACTTTCCATCTGGCAAAGTATTTTGATATTTGATACTTTTATCTTGATTCTGGATGAAATCAGCATGAAGTGATAGGAATGCAATGGCACATTTTGACCACCACTGCCTCAGAAAGGTGGTTTGTTAAAGGGCTCAGCAAATGAGCCAATATACAGAGCTGAGGAGCTCTCCTCCAAGCACTCTATGGGATTGCTAAGGACCGTGATCCTGCTCCCTTAGCCAAAGCAGCACAGGCTTGGGCTTTTTAGTTGTGCAGATCCCGGTTGGCTACACCAAGCACTGGATAAGCCAGCTTAAGAAACCCTCAACACACTAAAATAACCCGCTGGAGAGGATATCTGCACGCATGCAGTGCCTGAAACAGGGCCTCCTGGTGCAGGACTCCAGGACTGCAGCCAGGACTCCAGTAAAAATGGTTAATAATACCTATGTATAAAGCAAGCCCATGCTGACCGCCTGTGACCGCAAACTTCAGCAGTACATGCCCAGGGCCTTGAGATTCAATTCAGTATTTCTGCTCTATGTAACTGGGTCCGATATTCTCTCCCTTCAGTTTCTTCCCCAACTCTTTGCGGTACCTGGTCCAGCAGCATGTCGATTTACTTCACGCTCTACAGGAGAGAGTCTTGAGCTGGCCACGCCAAGGGATCCTAGGAGACATCTTCCTGAAGTTAACAAACGATGAGGTACGTTGTGGACCTCTCCAGGCTCTTCTGCTATGATGCATGACCTTGTGCTGGGGTCTGGCAAAACAGCATGTCCCACAGGTGGGCTGAGACAGCTTGCAGCAGAGGGGCTGTGCTGTGAAGGTGTGGCTAGGGTAAGCGATGCGTAGCGGCGTAGTTGGATCAAATTCCTTCCCTCCCATACCTGCTGCTGAGAGCTATGACCAGCGGGTGGACAGGCCCCATCCTGCACGCTCTGTAGCACCAGGTGAAACAGCACCTTCACAGTCTCATATTGTCTTGTTCCTCTGTCCATGGGCCAGCACCTCCTTCTCAGGGTGAAGGTCTGCCCAGCCCATGGTGAGGGGTGGGACCTTTCCTGGAAGGAAGTGTCAAATCTGATTTGAGGCTTTTTCGAATTTTAGAGTGTTATATAGGTAAAGTTTCTTCCTTTCCAAGCCCTCCCCGAGCCATCCGCTACAAAGTTCTGTACGCTACGTTCAACAGCTGAACCCATTTCATTAAACAGAATTGCTTGTGAAGTTCTGAGCCCTGAAATCTTTACACAGCTAGGAGCTCTGCTGAGCTGAAGAGTGATGCGGGGGCATAAACAGAGTTTCTTGTTCTGGCTGACTCTGTGGCCACACTCTCCTAAATTTCCTTCTTTCTTTCTTTTAAGAACAATTTTCTGGACTACTATGTTGCTTACCTGAGGGACTTGCCAGAATGTATCTCTCTGATCCACGTGGTGATCCTGAAGGAGGTAAACTTCCTTCTGTATCTGTGCTTCACAGACACCTACAGGCAGCACGCATGCCTGGCTCTCTTCTTGTTGTGCCTTCCCACAGCCGGACATCCCTGCCAATCCAGGAATCCATTTGTTCCATTACCAAATACCAGTTTCCAGAACATTGCCATGGCTGATGGTTGTTCGGACCTACTAAAGGCAGCTTTAAACATGTTCACCACTGTGTGTAAACAAAACTATATCTCTGCTGTGACATGGAACAGTATCTCAGATCAAACCTCTTGGAAAATTCTCCTATGCAAATCCTTTCCAGACCTGTCCTGGGAAAATAAGAGCGTTTCCTGAAAAAGAGAGGATTCATTCAAACAGGGAGAAGAAGAGTGAGGTTTTAAGTGCTAAAGCATTTCCTCAGAGAGACAACGTTCTCTACTGTTCAGCTTTAGATGTTTGGTCTCACATCCTTGATTCTTGGTTTTAACCAGGAAAGTTAAACGCAAAGGTAGCTTTAAAGTGCAATAACTAAAACAACACTAACTTTTTTCCAAGACATCTTAATTCAAGAGTCTATCCCCTTTTTCACTTCAGGCCTAAACTAAGGCCTTAATTCTGAAAAACAGTGTCTGCCCAGGGTTTCAATGAAACTTAACTAGCGCACTTTAAACATATGCGCTTACTTAATTAGGCTGCATGACCCCTGAACCTGAAGAACTTCATCTCTGGGACTAGCACTGCTGGTGAAAGGAGTTGCAAATACCCCTTCCAGAAGCAAGATGGGAACCGTTGCATTGTCGCGCACAATGGTCACTTGACTACCCTGCTCCTGCGAATTGCTCTAACTACTTACGGCAAAGCACTCAGTAAACCCCAGAACTATTTGCAAGCAGACATATTTTATGGGTAGGAGTGACTCTGAATTTGCTTTCTCTGTTTCAGGTGGAAGAAGAAATCAAATCTGATCTCTACATTCTGTTCTTCCATATAGTCCAGCGAATTCCTGAATACCTTATTCATCTACAGGTAGGGCCCTAGGATGGAAACGGTCTTGTTGAACTCCTTATGACAACAAACGGCTTTTACCTCAGAGCTGGCTTTCGGGCCTGTACAGCTACAGGGCTTCTGGCTAACTCAATGGGCTCTATGAAGAAACCTCTGAAAGGGGGAAGCCAGCTGAGAGTGCCTTGATTTTCATTTTTCATCCGCAACTTGTTCCTGTTTGCCAGTTTCCCCATCGAGCCTGACAGGACCAGCCTTTGTCCCTTGGGAAACCAAAAGCTGTGCCGCCCGCTGCTTGGGGAGAACAGCAGGCCAGAGATGGGGCATGTCTGCTGTGAGCTGAGCTCTTGTGACAGAGCTGCCCCCTCTGCTGAGGGATCCCTATGCCTGGGAGCTGAGAGAGAGCTGCTCCAGGGGGCAAAGGACCTTTCCTGTGCAGAGCTGCCTGAAAAACAGAGTTCTGGTTCGCAGGAAGGTTACTTGAATTGTACTGAAGCATTTCAGACAAGGGAAATAGGAACACAGGAGCAAAGGCCAATAAAAACCAAAGAAGAGACTGTTTATCCAGTCTTGGGTTTATCTGATGCTAGACTCCACCACTGCATCTCCCACACCCCCAGATTACATTTGGGCCGGCTACCCGTGTATTTGTACTGGAATAGCAGCAGACAGGTTCTGCCCAAGTCCCCCAGAAACTGGTGCTGCCTGGGAGGGCTCCCACAGTGCCCAGGCAGTGCTGTGGGCACTCCCGAGGGCCGGTCTGTGGTCCCGATAGTACCTTCTGCCCAGAAGGGGTTAGGACAGCCTCCAAACAGCCTGCTCTCCTCTGTGCCCCAGAATGTCCTGAAGTTCACGGAGCAAGAGCATCCTGATTATTACCTGCTGCTGGTGTGTGTGCAGCGCCTCCGGGTTTTCATCTCACACTACAGCCTCCTCTTCCAATGCAACGAGGACCTGCTCATACAGAAGCGCAAAAAGCTAAAGAAGTAAGCACATCACCTCGTTTTCTCTATCACCAGGGAAAGGGGGGTGCGGGGGCAGCCCGGAAACATGGGGTGTAGGTCCAGGCAAGATCAACAGGCACAGGGCTCTGTTGAAGTAAAACGCGGCCCTTTGTTTATGAAGGCTGGAGAAGGCCATCTGTTGGCACCTGTCCTCCAAACTGAGGTCAGACTTGGGGTGGGCCCTTACCCGAAACTCGGAGAGCAAAGGGAAATTCAGTTTAACCTTAAACATAGCTGCCGTGTCTTTTACTGGAACATTTGATTTCTTAAGCTGATAGTGAAGTCACTCCCCGCTGGCAGCATACAGGGAGGTTTAGCAGGCTCAGGGTCCTGGGAAGTCCAAGCTTGTGGCCTGAAGCCCTTACAGGCTGCACAAGAGATCAGGAGAGAATGGCATTACCTTATTTTACTGGGGGAGCGAGGCGGGGGAAACAAAAGCTTCCCATAACTTGTTTGAGATGAACTGTGGCAGACTAGACGCTGAACCCAGATTCCCCTGTTCTGGATCAGGAGTCTTCCCTGAAATCAGAACTTTTTTGTTTGTTCGTTTGTTTGTTTTTTAAATCAAAACCTGGCTGTCTTTGCTCCTTGTGATGATTCACTGGGGAAGTGGGACAAAGGAAGAAAAATTGCAGCTGTGCTGCTTTAGATCAGATTTCAGGGACGTTTCCCAACATGGAGGGTGGTAAAGGGCTGGATCAGACTGCTGGGGAGGGGTTGCTATCATGAGAAGTATTAAGAACAGGACAGAAAGGCTACTGCCTACGACAGACTAGGTGCAACGGGTTTTTCCTTGGGTGGGAAGAGGTGCAGGGGAATATTAAGGTCCTTCCCAGCCCTTTTTTCTGTGATTCTACACGCTCGTGCTCATTCCCTGCCTTATTTCTTAGCACGACGATGGATTTCTCCTCCCTCAGGTCGTCCCTGGTGAAGCTGTACAAAGGTCTCACCTCCCAGTGTACGAGCCAAGAGGTTTCTCCAACACCAAGCGCGACCTCTATCCGGGACAGCGGGATCCACTCTGAAGAAACCATACAGTCGTTCCCACCGGCACCTTCCTCTGGCACGACAACCCCGTAAGCCTCTTGTCCTAGCACAAGGCTGTCAAAGTAGGCTGAGCACTCTCTCCTCTCCCGTACTATGCCAGTGACACCAGGCAGTAACAGACTGTCACCTCCAAGGCTACTCCCCCAGGTATACCTAGTGAGATGAGGGGCTGGCTCTTTCCTCCCATCCACTACCACGTAGCTCACAAGCAGGCAAGGCTTCAGAGCTCTACCACAGGCTGCCAACGCCATCATTAGCTGCTAGCTGTCCTAAAGGAATGTGCCGGGCCGGGATGCATTTGTGCAAGGCTGGCCGCAGGGTGCACAGCAGGACTCCGAATGATTCGCTGACTGGCATGTTACAAGAGCTAGGGAACATGACCAAACAGGAGGTTTCAAACCAGCAAAAAAAGGTGTTTTCCACACAGCATGTCATTAAACTGTGGGAGACTCTGCCACAGGATGCAAGAGCAAATGGGTTCAAAAAGCAACAAGACTAATTTAAGGAAGACAGGGCTTCTGGTGACACTGCAATCTCTGGCCACCCCTAACCTACTGATAGGAGCCAGCTGAGAGGATGATCAGAGAAGGAACACGCTGGGCTTGCCTTATTTCTTATTTCAGCATACCAGGCTGAACGAACCTGTGGGCAGCTCTTTTGGGAACTGGCCCTGCAGACAGAATGACTCTTACTTTTAAAACTATCTAGGCCAGGTGCTGGCTAGGGAGACATGCGGGTTCACTGATCCTACAGCGCTGTCCTGTGAGTTCCCAGATCCAGACCATACAGCAACAGCTCATTAAGAGAAGCTGCCCCTTTTTTTTTTCCCCCAGTGGGAACTAGAAATATTTGTTGAGACCTGGCAAATGTCTGTCACCTAAATAAGTAAAGATGCACACAGAGAATCACAGAAATTCTTGCTGAAAGGGGCCACTGGAGCCTCCATCCAGCCTCCTGCTCAGAGCAGGACTACTACCAACATTAAATGAGCCGTGGCTTTATCCAGTCCCTGTCTTGAAAAGCCTCTGAGGATGCAGACTCCCACATCTCTCACAATCCCCCTAATGAAATCTTTCCTCCTACTGTTCAACCTGAAACTCCAAAGTCACAACTGGTGGCTGTTGCAAGCCACCAGTTACAAGTCGAGGTTGGACTAGATGATCTCCAGAGGTCCCTTCCAACCTAAACGATTCTGTGATTCTGTGTTGTGCTTCATTGTATCGTTTGATACTACAAAAACTTTGGCTCCACTATCTTTCTGAATGCCCTTCAAAGGAACTGCAGAAATGTTATTAAATCAATCCTCAGTCTCCTTTTCACCAGACTAGCCAAGCCCAGCTCTCTTCCCTCACCGGTGCTGTGCTCCAGGGCTCTGACTGCCTTGGTAGCCCCCAGCAGCCTCTCTCCAGTTTCCCCACATCCCCCCTCAACTGGAGGACCCAGCACTGGACACGATCTAGGTGGGGCTGCACCAGCAATGAACAGAAGGTGAATATTAATTCCCCTGGCTCTGCTGGCCACGGGGCTCCTAACACAAACGAGGATAGAGTTTGTCTTGCCTGCGGATGAGAACGCACTGTCGGTTCCTTTTCATCCTCCCATCCACTGTAACCCCAAGTTCACAGCCGAGCTGCTGCTCAGCCCAAATCTCCCAGCCTGGCCTAACGCATGCAGCTATCCCGCCCCGGGGTCGAGCTCTCCGCGTCTCCTCCTTGAACGTCACAAGGTTTTTTTTGGCCCAGTTCTCAAGTTGACTGAGGCCCCTCTGGACTGAAGTACTGCTGTTTGTCATGTCAGCCACCTCCCTAGCTTAGCGTCATCTTCAAATCCGCAAATGCTGCACAGGCATTCCCAAGCAACACAAGCCCCAGCTGCCGCAATAGCTGCTGCCAGCATGCCTGCATGGATGTCTTGAAATTAAGCCAGGATCTCACCACAGCACGTACGCAGGAGTACAAAACGCCTTACTGCCTAGCCCCAGACCCCCTCCTTTTTCACCCAGAAGCAAAGGGCTACTCAGACTCCCAGTGGTGAGCACAAAATCATTCCTTCCCCCACCCCATTCATCATGTCCCCTGTGGATGGCAGCATTACTTTCTTAACTAGGGTTTTGTAAGTGCAGGGAGACGCATACCTTGTGCCTAGTGCCTCCCCCGTGCAGGACTCCCCACAGACTTCCCTGGCACACACGGAGGGCAGCAACACTCCAGGTACCCTTGACACTTTTGCAGACAGAATCACCTCCCCAAGACAGTCCCTGACATCAGAGAGAGGGGAAGGAAGGTAAAAATCCAGAACGGGGATGAACTGGAAAGAGAAGGAGCAGCCAGCCTCGGCACTTGGTTACTCTCCGTTAGGTGGTGTAGAGCTCAAGAGTGACCCAAAGCTACTGGACAGGCAGTCCTACCCCCTGCAGGTTCGCTCCTGCTAAGCCATCTAGACAACTTCTATTAACGGCAGCTCTGTTACTGTTCTCCAAGATACTAAAATACTTGCGCTTATTAAAAGCGAGAGGATGGGGTGGGTGGGAGGGAGGGGAGCTTGCCAGGCTGTCTCTCTGTCATCCTTTTGTACTCTACTTCCTTCTGGGTTTTTTTGTTTTGTTTTGTTTCTGATTTTCAAGGCATTTGATGCCCCAGATGAAGAAATCCCAGCCATCTGTGATGGAGAACATCCAAGCTGTAAAGCCCCCCGACTGGGAAATGGAAAGTAGAAAACATGAGAGGCCAGAGAACATCCTTGCATCCTCTCAGCTCACGGAGCAGGAACTCAAGGCCCTGACAGCCCCCTTACAATCTATCCCCGAAATGGAGTATGAAGCACCGCCAGCTGACGCGGTGGGAAACCCCGAGAGAGCCATCAGGACCTCTGTGGAGCTGCTGCAGGATGCGAGGAACTTTGCGCCAAGCTATGAAGAGTTTGACTACCCTGGGGAAGTTTTCACTCTGCCAGGCCCCTATGAAGATGACACCTTCCAAAACCTTGCTCTCTTTGAGAATTGCTCCCCAGCCTCTTCCGAATCCAGCTTAGACATTTGCTTCCTTAGGCCTGTAAACTTCACATCAGAACCAGAGAGGACAGATCATGCCTTACAGCCACTGCCTAAGAGCTGTACTCCTGTAAGCAGCAGTACTTACAAGCGTGAGATGTTCCACAGCAAAGGCAAGCAGCTGAGCAGGTCCCTGAAGGAGCTGCCGAGAAGCGCGGAGGGTGTGAGCGCCAGACTCTACAGCACGAGGAGCAGCAGTGGGAGCCGGCTGCAGCAGAAGCAGGAGAGAAATGTCCAGCCTCACATGATCTCAGCTTCATCCCGAAGCTCCCAAAGGAGCTACTTCCCCCCACAGAGAGGAGCGGGTGAAAAACAGAGCTTTTTGGAAGTAAGGAGGCTAAAATAGGAGGAGAAAAGAAAGGAGCATGGTGGTGCAGAAGCAGCAGCAGGAGAGAGAGAGAGATCTGAGATACAGTTAGGGGAGAACATGCCAAAATAGCTTCCAAGTCTACACATTCAAAGCCCTCATCTGCACGTACATATCCAAGGGAGGGACAAGACGCAGGACAGCTTCTTTTCACACCTATCTCCCCCAGGGACAAATATGGGCTTGAGACATGCAGCTGGCTGAGGGCAGGGCTGGAACACCCTGGAGACAAGCTGGCCTCTCATGTTTCTCTAGCTGTCACTGAGCTCCCCTAATGAATTAAGGTATCTGATCAGGGCCATGAGGTGTGAGCAAAGCTGCTTGAAATGAGTGCTATAGGTTGGCACCCAGTTAAAAAGGTGCCCTTTCACCTCCTGCGAGCAGGAGTGCTGGGATAAAAAAAAAAAAAACAACGGATTTCGGATCAGATCCTCAGCTGGTGTGAACCAGTGTGACTCTGCCAAGTCAGCCCATTTGCACCAACAAGGATCTGGTCCGTGGGTTTTGTTTCACCTGCGTTTGCTCTGTGGCCCTTGGAGCCATGCTGAAGTCTGTGGGAAAACGGGCAGAGCCCAGCAACGCCGTCCCTGTCCCTCAGACAATCACCGGCAAGGCAGGTGGCACTCCAGCCCTGCAGGGACACCGGGCCTTGCAGGAACAATGTTTCTGCAGTTTGCAGTGCCTGCTCAGAGTCAGCTTGGACCTGGAGCAGTCACGGGAGAAGGCATGAACGAATATCCTCGTGCCCGTCACACCTCCTTGGGAAGAGGCCTAGGTGGTAGGCTAGTGCCCTCTGCGCAGCCTGGAGAAACACCCTCCTGTTCAAACGAGGCAAGGGATACGAAGGCTGCAGATGCAGATGATGATGGGAGGAACGTTCCCGACAGCCTGGCTGAAAAGGTAGCAGGGAAACCTCAAAGAAAAGAAAGAGAAAAGCCTAGTGAGTGGAGGAGGTGGTGGAGAACTAAGCAGGGGAGGTGAAGGAGAGGGAGAGGAGCTGTGGGGACACAGCCCACCCAGAAAAAAGAGCCCGCCAGCTGCTTGGCACCCACCTGCACATAAGCAAGGTGCAGATAGGAAGCTAGTCCAGAACAGCTGCTGTCTTGGCGACAACCTCTGCAGGACACGGTCTCCCCCAAAGGAGACCACTGCAGCAGTCATAGGCTGAACCGGAGAAAAAGGGTCCTGTCCAGAGTCACAGAGCGGGACTCGGCCATCTCCTGAAAGGGGGAGAGGAGATCTTTCAGTGGCACATTTACCACAAGGTGTGTGTGCTAACGAAAGCCTCTTGCTCCACAGATATACAACCAGGGTGCAGCAGAGTCAACAGAAGAGTCTCTATCATCCCATCAGCTAGGGAAGCCTCCCTCTTCTAAGGTAAACGGAGTTCACAAGCGAGGAGGGGGCGGGAAGGACCTGCTCCTTCAACTCCTCATGCTGGGCTAGCGAGGCCTCTCTACAGAAAAAGGTTAGTGAGGAAAGCTCCAGCTCCCTCTAACAGCGCCTCTCCGTTCCTCTGCCAATGCCCCGGCTTCACAGAGCCAGCAGCAAGCTCTCTGCAGAGGTGCCAGCGCTGCCGAGGCCCGAGTGATGTGTTGTCTCCCAGCCTCACCAGCACCTCCTCACCCACCAGGTCCCTCCTAGCACAGAGAGAGAGAGAGAAAGAGAAAGGGACAAGGACGTGAGGTTGCAAACGCTGGTTAAATTGTCTTTTCCCTTTTAGGAGCTCCATGCAGAAGACAACACCAGGTTCTGCCAGAAGGATGACAATGAGCAAACATCCTTCAGCGACCACAACCCACGGCACGAGCCCAAGGGGGGTTTCCGGAGCTCCTTCCGCAAGCTCTTCAAAAAGAAATAAGCAGCCCCAAGAGAGGCAGGCTGCAGCCTAAGTGCGACAGTGCTTCCCCAGGTCCCTGAGGGTGGAGACAGACAGCGAGGCCCTGAGATCCCCCCTTGACTAACACAGTAGGTGGAGGGGTGGGAGAGAGGAGACGGTCACAGCTGCCTCACAAATGCAGCCTGCTCTTCCTAGCACAGGGGAGGGCCAGGCTATGGGTTGAAGCAGAGCTCAGCCAGCAGGTCCAGTAAGCACAGGAACTTGCTAGCTTTCACCCCCGCCTGACTGGAACCCAACTTTCCTTGGAGTTTTGGAAAGCTTTGGCCAAACCCCAATCTCTTCTCCTCCCCCTCATCCCCCAGTGTTGCTTGATTTCACATACATCTCTGCTCTTCCAAATTCAAAACAAGTCTAATCTGGGCTCACCTGCAACAGAAAGATTTTGCCTTTGCAGCATTTGCATCCTGGCCAGGAGTCTGAAGCTCTCCTCTTTCCTGCACTTTCCAAAGAAAACCCGGCATCAAAGATATTTTCCAGGAGGGCAGCTCATATTACCCAGCTGGGTCGAGAAGGTCTAATAAGTATCAGCTGAAGCACCCGGGCTTCGTACTGCTTAGCCAGCAGCATCCTTTCTTTTGGACTTCCATCACTCCCTGAAATCCTGCTCTACCTTTTATTTGACGAGTTGCTCCGTGAATTGCCTCCTGCCGTATGAACCTCTGCTCTTGCTGTCAGGATCACCTGTGTCTCCAGGCAGGTGGCATTGGTTGAGTCCAGGGCCCGCCACAGGAGACAAAGACTCTTCTCCACTCTCCCCCCACCACGGACCAATGCAGACATTGACACAGTCAACCAGCGTCCAGGCTCCTGGTCTGGACATACAATATGGTCTGGTCGAATGCAATACATTTCGAATACTCTTTGCTAACTCTCTCTGGCCCGACACCTCCTCGCAAGCCCCAGCACGTGCAGCATCCTGCTTTGGAGCAGCTATTCCAGCTAACATTGAGGCATTAGGGCAGGAAAGCTGCTGGTGCCCCACGTTCCATGCCGGAAGCGCTCCTTGCGCAAGGACGCTCCTCCTCCCCCAACAAAGCCACGAGTACGCCCTCCCCACGTCTCAATGTGACAAACCCTTAGCAATGCTGTTTTCTATAGAAGACTAGATTATAGCTTTTGTTAAAACAAGAATATGGAGGGAAACCCAGCCCTCCTAGAGCATTATCCACGCCACACCTCAGCAGCAAGAGCAACTGATCGCACAGGGCTGTGACACTAGCTGAAGCTGGGGCATGCTGACGACAGGTTCAAGAGGAAAGGTGGTTTTATCACCCTCTTTTGGCAGGCTTGGGACACCTGTCTGTCATCTCACCTGAAAAGGTTGTGAACTGTCTCAGCGGGGCCAACCGCAACCTCCTGGGGGGCAAGACTGTGAGCTGAGGGGCTTGGCACTCCAGTACCAGCGCAGGGTGACTGTATCTGCTGCCCGATGGCTCCCCATCTAGTGGGGCAGAGAGGAAAAGCACCCAACATGCTGTACGGCTCTCCAGGAAGCAGCAATGCTACAGGGAGGGCAGGAAGCCAGTGGCCTAGGCTGCAATGGCTAACCACCAGCAGCAGACCCAGGGCCTACAGCTCTTCAACAGCGCCGGCTGACCTACTGTTATTAAACCTGCTTTCCTCCTCCCGGGGAGGGGAAGAGGTGTGTGTGAAGAGAGGTTTTAACTCAACCCAAACAAGATCTGTCTTTTATCTCAAAGTTTTTCCAACATTTCAAGAAAGCGACCAAGCAAAACCCTAGAGATTCAAATGTTTCGGCCAAGCAAAACCCCAGAGGCTAGACTGTTTTTGCCAATGCCTGCCTCATATATTTTACTGGACCCAAAATACTTCCCAAAACCCATCTCTCCTCCTCCCAAAGGGAAAAAAAAATGTATGCTAGTCTTTGCATGTGTATCTTTTGGAAACTATTCTGGGAAGAGTTTTTTTTTTTTATTTATTTAAGGTTTTCAATGACCAAAAAAAATTCCAATCTCTTTCTCTCTCCCTTGCATCCTCATTAAGTTACAAATTCCCTGGCCCTTCCTATCCAGCGCTGCTCCACACTGACCAGCCACTGCATCAGCAAGGCTCTCTTAGGACTTAGCAGCCCTCACTCAGACAGCACAGAGTCAGGATACCCCACATATGTAAGAAGAGCCAGATACTTGTAACTGAGGCACCCATGAGGCCTGTTTGTTCTGCAAAGGAATCAGCCACAGACAGACCTACTTGTTTGTCCATGGAACCAGAGTGTTATCGATGGGGATGAGCTTCCCTCCCCGACATCATTCCTGTCCAGGCATGTGAAGATGTGGGCAAATGTTGTGGGAAAAGGGATGGTGAAATGAAGGAGGAGGGAGGCAAAGGGCTGGGAACATATCCAGAGGATCTGAGAAGAGGTAAAGTCTAGGCCAGTGGTGGGTGGTAAAAAGAAAGGGTTGAGGAGTCCAACAGAGCCAAGCGCAACTGCCCACCTGCACGCTGAGCACTCAGCAGCATGAGCCCAAAGGCCGTACACACGCTGTGCCTGCTGCACAGGCTCTCGGGAGTGCTGCTAAGCACAGGCCAACCCACATCACAGGGGGGTGCTCAGAGGCCAGAGACGGGAACTGCTACTCAGATCTTTCAGTGTCACCTGGCTCTCCCATTTCTGCACGGACAAAAGCAAAACGGAGAACACTTTCAGTGACACCAGACATCCCTTCCTTTAGGAGAGAAGGCTGACTGTGCAGTGTCAGACACTGGATGAGGAGAGGGAGGTTTGGAGACCCTGCTAATTGTAGGCACAGTGAGAACGTCCCAGCGTGGAGAGTTGTTACCCGTATTTTTAAGGTTTAGCTTACTGTAATACACTGATTCTGCCACGGGCTCTGATGCTCATGCCTTTGGGTCTCATACACAACCAGTCTTCCATCTTTCACAGTACAAATTTGCTCCTCACATCTGCCAGGCAGATGCCAGGGCAGAAACAGGGACAAAAGGGAAAACCTACCTTGTTACATCTCCTGAGTGAGGAAATCCTTCCAGAGTGGCAGACCCTTGCTTGTAAAACGCACATGGATTTTAGCTTCTGTTTTACTCATTTAAGGCATGATGAGACTGATGGATATTATTTCTTTCTGCTCCTGTGTGAGTTCTTACTTCCAGGCCTATACTTATCATTTCAAATGTCCTCAATCTTTCCTTGTACCCGCTCAGAATCTGCAAAATGTAAATAAAATGAGTGAATGATGCTCAGCACCACAACAGAAACACACAGCCTCTTGCAGGATCCAACCCAACCTCATCTTTTAGTATGTGTGCGCGCTCTGGATTATTTTTCTTCCTGTGCCAAATAAATGTTGCTTTTAAATAATGCCGTTGTCTCTTTTGCACTGGATCAGCTGCTAGGTTGCATCCATTAAAAGGAGAAACACATGTTTCTCAGGTCTCTCTCCAAGGCAACATTACTTACAAAATCCTGTTCCCCTGCCCACACATGGAGCCACTTGAGAGGACGGTGCTCCCATACACCTAGTTCCAAGCCTCTTTCACCCAGCACTCAGCTGAAAAGCTCTCTCTTTCTCAGCTTCTAGTCAGGACCCCACTGCTGGTGCAGCTCAGTGTGTGACATTTCTTCTGTGCTCAGCTCCATCTCCTTTAGGCTTTTGCTGCTTCTGTGACAGACGAACCAGCCTTCACAAAAAAATCCCATGAACCTCCTCCACTCACACACACGCCACTGTAATTTCAACTATCCAACTCCACAAGAGATCTCAGTATCTTCTTGTATATCAAACATCTGTCACATACCAAGTTTCTCCATGATTAATTCTAATTCTGGGAACACCACGCACGTACCTTACCTTTGTCACATTCTCAAAAGGCCCAAAACAACGATACCATAAGCAGGGCAAATCAGTCCGTTGAGCTCACCTCTCCTCACGCCACAAAACACCGGCAAGCCTGCCTAATATCCCTCCTACTCCTCTGTAGCACCTTGCAGTCTTGCGTAACTCAGGGACAGCGGTCTCAGTGATTAGGATCTTGGTCAACAGAGTTTTGTACTGCCAACCCAAAATGCAGTTTTACTCCTGTGCAAATCTACTGGGGGGTTTCCCGCTCAATTCCCTTTTCACCATCTGGATGCAGCACATGCCCATCAGCTGGTGGGGAACCACTGATGTCTGCGACAGCTCCCTGTAGGACACGTTGTCATCAAGCCGGTAACTTTCCTAGATCTCCTTTCCACAGCTCTATTGCCTGCTTAAGGCAGCCATCCTGAATCTCCTCAGTTTATGAATAACTTTGGCTTTTAGAGCCGGCCCAAACCTAGCCTCTCACCACTTCACTGCTCTAAGTCAGCACAACAGAGCGTACTTCCCAAGAGGCACCTTCTCCTACTCTTTTGCCAGTGAGGCAATTTTTTATGGCTTCCTCCATGTGATCTTAAAAGTATTTTCACCTCGCTACAGACTATGCCAATATTCCTTGGCAAAAGCACAAGGATTTCAACAGCTTCCACTGAATCAGTTCTTTTCTCCACACTCCGCACAAGAAGTTTTTAGGGCCTTTTGCTCATGCACGAACAGGTGAGGAGCCGCGGCATGTGTAGTACTGTCTTTTGCTGTTGGGGTCTTGGTTTCTTTGCTTTTGGCGGTTCTGCAGGGGGGACTAGAGAGAGGAGGCTACCAAGAATATTAAGCAGCTTCTACTTAACGAGTGCTTTTCATTTATTCACTCTGTTCTCTGAAATCAGATGTTTTGTCTAACGCCAGATACGAGTTATGAAACATAGCGTCCCTTTATTTACTGTGGTCTGATTCAACGGAGAGACAAGATGTAGGCCCTTATATGAAACAAACTACCTAACAAATTCATACAGTAAAATCAAGAGACAGTATTTACCCACAAACTGGAGATCCTTTGATGCAGTAAATTATAACAGAAAGCTGCAGAGCTGGATTAACACCTACAAGGAACAATCCTGTGGCAGAGAACAACACAGTTAAAAGATGCTGTCACTGTCAGGAAGCCACTTTGTTTCCCCCACTGTACATACATCTTGCTCACTTGTCTTCTATGCCATATGGCTCCGCGGCTCAGAAGCTACTGCATATTTTAACATTTTACTATTCTGAGCAACACCTACATCTGGAGCAGACTCGCAAGTGTCCTTAACATAAAGCACACAGCAGTAAGCTTAAGACAGCCAGTCTCAGACTACCAAGACTTTCATTGTATCTCACATATTCAAAGTGTACACTTCCAGGATATGTAAGGCATTTTTTATTTTTAGAACATATCTTTTAATGCCAAAAGGTAACAGCCACTATTAAATTTTCACTTAAATGCAATCCAAATACCACTGCAGACACAGCATACAAAGATCACCTACAGACAGTTAGGTACACAGGTCATAAGATGTGCCAGGTAAAGTTTACCACTTTTCTCTTTCTGCTTTTTTCTTTTTACATCTGGACTGACATCGCTTTTGACAATTACTCTTTCTGGCAAGTAACCATGCCATTAAACAAAGGCAAATGTACACATATACTGGAACAAACTTATTGGAACCTAAAATTGGCTCATTTCACAAACAGAAAAAAGCTCATTCCCAAGTAGATTCAAACAAATTTGTCCAAAACAATTCCAATACCACGCGACCCAGATCGTCTACCTTTCTTTTTAAAAAAGTTACAGATGTTCTTTGATAAAAGGCACATTTGGCAGCTACTAAAATTGTCATGCATCTGGCACATTTTTTTTAATTTTTTTTTCCCTTTCATCCTTTCAGCCACCTGGTACATGATTTCACAATTGCTTGCTAGGGAGTCAAAGAAGTGACTTGCCCGCTCCTTCACTTGCCTTACAACGCTGCAGCAGTTGGCTACTTAATGCACTATTTTTCATTAAAGGCAAAAGGGAAATTTGCTCACAGTTGACAGAAAAATGCACTTAAAGGTTTTTTTTTTTTTTTAAATGAAAAATAAGGCATGAAATTCACAAACTAAGTTAAACGCGCATTTGGCTTTACAACTCTATTGGGCCACATGTTTCTCTCCTTAACAAACAAGAGCAAAAAAACGCTTCAGCCCATGTATCACCTAGGTTTTGAAATGACAATTCTCCAACTATAAAGGATATTTAGGGGCAGGGGAGACCCACAAGAGGCTGCCAGCTTTTTAATAATATCTTTAAAAAAAAAGTCTTTTTGAACAAGGCCCTCCTTCCTGGCCGAAAAAGGCATCAGCATTCAGGAGAAAGCCAGGGAAGGACTTCTATATACCACAGCCAAACGCACCGCTCACAGCAGCAAAGCGTTAAGGAACATTTTGTTTAACATTTTTAATTTTAATCTTTTTTTTTTTTTAAATAATTCTAAGACAATCAGTCATGAATACTGGGCTCTTTCTAGCTGAGCTTAAATTGCAGCACTGCTAGAAATACCAGTAGTAGAGGCTGCCTCTGTAAATTGCTACACTAAATCGAGACGACAGCCCCAGAGAGGAGAACTGACGCTTATTATCATGCACTGGCTTTGCCACACAGCCTGCTGTGATGCAAATTTGTCCAAGCACCTCCTCAGGCTCCGAGGAAAACTTCCCTGTGTGTAACAAAGTCAAACCCCCTCCCAGAAGCACAATCATCTACTGACTTCAATAGTGGGACCTCCAGCGACACGGCTGAGTTTGAATCAGACCCAAGCGAACAGAGGAAAAAAGCCTAATTTAAGATACGCGCAAAAGAAAAATAACTAAACATCCAGCAATGCTCATCTAAATCTGGAAAGATCTAAATCCAGCACACTAGCACAAATATACTCTTACTGAGACGGACCTCTTCCTCGCCGATTTAACCGGGACACGCTAGGCAAGCGGGTGAGCTCCTGCCACGGACGTCTTCCTGAGGCTGCAGCGCTCAAACGACTCCGCGGTACGGATCCCAAAGCAGGACGGCGTTCTCCTTACACAAACAGCGACAGGAAAGCTTTGCCGGGGCTGCCGAACGCC